AGAGTCAACTTCATGGCAACTGGTAATGTAGACATAAAAAAAAAAAAAAAATAGGTAGAAATATTCTCCAAAGATAATAAGGAGTTATGTGGCAAGAGGTTTAAGTTAGAAGGGAATGATAACAAAACAAAACACTATGCCTAAGGCTTGAATCAGCTGAATCCAAAACGTCTCACACAGGCTCATACTACTGTAAACTAGACAGGCTTTAAGTCAAAACAAGTTCATATAGTTCAACAAAAAGCTAAATATAACAATATGCTATTGTCAGGTGCTATCAAGTCAATTTCGACTCAAAGCAACCCCATGTGACAGAGTAGAACTGCCCCATAGGGTTTTATAGGCCGTAATCTTCATGGGATCAGATCACCAGGTCTTTCTCCTGCAAAGCCACTAGGTGGGTTTGAACTGCCAACCTTTCAGTTAGCAGCCAAGACTTTAACCATTGCACCATCAGGGCTCCTCATAACAATATATGATTGCTAAATATAACCAAAGTATTACAAATCAATTAAAACAGTCACTGATTTAATATTTGTTGTTGGTGGTGCTGTCAAGCCAATTTCAACTCATAGTTACCCCATGTGACAGAGCAGAACTGCTCCATAGGGTTTTCTTGGTTATAATCTTTATGAAAGCAGATTGCCAGGTCTTTCTCCCACAGAGCTACTGGGCAGGTTCAAACCAACCTTTCAGTAGCAGCTGAGCACTAAATCATTTTTGCCACTAGATCAAAAAAAAAACCACCACCAAATCCACTGCCAATGAGTCGATTCCAACTCACAGGAACCCTACAGGACAGAGCAGAGCTGACCCATAGGGTTTCCAAAGAGTGGTTGGTGGATTCAAACTGCTGACTTTTTGGCTAGGAGTTGAGCTCTTACCACTGCACCATCAGGGCTCCAGGACTCCTTAATTTTGTATTAGTTTCCTATTACTCAAATATTTACAACAGATCAAAGGCAGAAATTGTTGTTACTCAATTTATATTGACTACTACTATAAAACACCATGAAGCACCAAGTGAACCAAGTGAGGTTTCTCTTTTAACCTATGTCTGTTACGCACCTTATGAATAAAGCACAGCAAAACTGTATTCATTTTAGAAAACAGAAAAATCAAAGCTCCTAGAACAAGTAGAAAAATTTAAAGAAGTCTGACAAATTATAAAAGCAATGCTGCCTATACACAAATTAGGCATATGTTGCTATCCAAGCATCTGGTGGATTTTATTTACCACATAATAACTGGTAAGCATTAATCTTTTGTCAGGATGCATGAATTTTAGACTGATACCTAAGGTTCAAATGGCTATTATTTTCAAAATTCGTTTTTGGAAGTTTTAAGAATTAAAATACACGTTTATTTTTAATGGTAGCAACAACTGAAACTCTTAAACTTAAAAATTCATAGGAATAAAGGGAAGGAGAATTAGGGCACCAACTGTTGGATTAAGAGGATATATGTGTTTTTAACTTTAATAGATACTACATAATTGCCTACTCAGAAAGTTGTACCAATTTATACTTCTACTAAAGGCATATAAAATTGTCTGGTTTTCCACATGCTTATTAACAATGAATGTCATTACTCTTTTAAAATTTTGACCTGATAGGTGAAAAATTGTATCTCCTTTTTTTAAATTTCCACTGTTCTTCTGTGAAATGACTTTTTAAATATCTTTTACCTTCTTTTTAATATATTTTTAGATGCTCTTTATATACTAGACATATATTAACCTTTTTTCCAAAATGCCAATTTTTTTTTGAGTTTTTAAAGTATAGAAATCTCAAATCTGTTCATTTAAATGTGACTGATATTTTGCCATGTGGCTTCTAACATTTGTTTTTTGCTTGCGAGTCCCTCCCGCAATGTAAGATGTTTAAAAATATTTTTCTGTATTTTCCTTTATTCATTTCGTTTGATTTTACCTTTGGCTTTTTATAATCCATGTGAAACATATCTTAATACATGATTTGAGGTAGGGGTAAATATTTTTCTTCCAAATAGACAACCAAATCTTAAAATCATTTTTTAAATAATCCATCTTCATTTGACTCCATTGATCTATTTGTCCATTCCTGTGTAAGTAGCCAAGGGTTTAATTTAACATTATACTTCATTTTACTATTTAGGAGGTGGGGTCTTCCTCATTGTTATTCTTCTCAAAATTTCCTTATTAATTTTCCTACATTATTCATCCACATAAAATTTAGTATCAAATTGCCAAGATACAAAAATAAAATAAAATAAAAAGAAACAAAGCCTGTCAGGGTCATAAAATGGAATATCATTAAATTTGTTGAATTTATATGAGAGAAACTGACATCTTTATGATTAAATCTTCTATGCTCTAGTTTTGTTTCATGCTCTTCAGTATAATTTTAACTTTTCTTCACATAATCTGTTTTTCTCATTAATTTTTTCTCCTAAAGTGAGAGTTTGGGCTGCTATTAGAAGGTTTCTTCCCCATTTCTTATTATACCAGGCTATCTTATATAAAATTCTTTTAATAGCTTTAATGGCTCTTGATGAGTCTCTTAGATTTTCCAGCTGTACAAACCTAACATCTGTAAATAATGCTCATTTTGTTTCCTCTTTTTCAGTGTTTATTGAGCTTACTTCTTTTCTTATTACCTATTATTTCCAAAAAATGTTAAACGATAGTGATAAAAGTGAGCATCCCTGTTGTATTCATAGAAGAAATGGAGTATCTTTCATATATTATCACTTACTAGGACATTTGCTATAGGATTTTTATTAATGTTGTATGTAGGAAGTCTGCTCCTGCTCCCATTTTATTAGGCTTTTTTAGGATTGGCTGCTAGAATTTCACAAATGCTTTTTGGCATGTATTATCCCTGTTTAAGACAGTCACCACAAGAATCCTAGAACACCAAGTTACTCCTCATGGCCCACACTCTTGTCCCCAGAAGGCTCTGCTCTTCAGCTCTCTGATTCCATCTCCCACTCCTCCCCAACACCTGCAAACTTTGCACTGTGCCCTCTGGAGCTCATGAACAGTCAACAGCAAAATTCCCTATCGATTTTCAACCTCTTCTCTGAATGCTTCCTTCATCTTCTTGCTCTGAGAAAGAGGGTAGATTGTTATTCTCTAGCCCATACCTGAAGATGGCACAGGTATCCTCCCTGTTCCTCAATGCCTCTTTCAGGACCATTCTCCCCCTTCCTCCTCCCTAAAACTGCCGAGCTTCTGAATTTCACAGCATTAAACTCTACCCATTTCCTCTCCTTTTGCAGTCATCTACCAACCATTGCGTCACACACCCCCGCCCCCCCACCCCCCACCCATTTCCTATAGATTTTAGCTCCTGGTTCTAAAACTCTCTCCAGTGCTGGACTGGCATAATTCTCGTTGATCTCAATAGCTATCCAGATGATCTCAATTCACTGACCTTCTCTCTTTAATGATCTTCTTCTCTATCCTACTTCAGCCATTTAGCTCCATGATCACATGCTAAACCGTGTCATTAATGATAACTGCAACCTCTCCATAATCTCAATTTCTGACCACCACACCTCCTAACTTTAAAACCAACCCCCTCATGTGCCACAATTCTAACATATCTTTAAGTCTGTTGACTAAAACTGTGGTACATTCCACACATTGATCCTGTTGTCTTATCATTATAGCTTATCTTTTCAAGTCCTATTTTCCCTCCCTAACTCAACTTTCATGGTGAATCATTATCACTCCCTTGCATATACCTTAACTCCCTAACTCCCTTTCTCACTTTGTCTTACTCACTCAACAAAATGTAAACCCCAGTTAAATCCAAGTCTGTTACCTGTTCTGCACCTCTGCAGCCAAACATGCCTGGAGAAAAATATACAACTCATCCTGGCTGGTCTTACATCAAATTTCACTCAGGCCAAAAATCTTGAGCTATCCTTGATTCTCCTCTCTCTCCCACCCCTTCTCTTATCCACAGCAAATCTTGTCAGCTATATCTTCAAGGCATATCCAGACTTGGGCTTCATCACATGACCTCCACAGCTACCACTATGATCCAAATGACCATCACTTCTTGCCTAGATATGGTAACAGACTCCTAACCTGTTTTTCACCCACACTGTTGCTCCCTCTACTGTTTGTTCGCAACACCGCAGGCAGAGTGACCTGGAAAAACCTATACCTAATCATGTCACTCCTCTGCTCCTCCAGTGGCTCCCCATTTCATTGAGAACAAAATCTCAAGTTTTTTCTATGACGTGCAAGGCTCTGCTAAGACCTTCCATCCACTGATCCTGTCACCTGTTAGCACCCATTATGTCTCTGAACTCATCAGTTGCACTACTCTCCTATCCTGCTCTCTGAACCAGCCACAATGACCGTCTGAATGTTGTTCAAGGAAGTCAGGCATCCACACCTCAGGGACTTTGAACTTGCTGTTCTCTCTGCCTAGAATGCCTTCCCAGATATGCATGGGTCAATCCCATACCTCCTTCAGATTCTGCTCAAATGTCACCGTCCAGTGAGGACTTCCTGGCCACCTGCTAACCATTTCGCCTGCTTTATTTTTCTCCTTAATACTTACCATTAACTAATATACTACGTATTTTGCCTAGTCATCTTGTTTATTTTCTCTCTCCTCCACTGGTATGTAAGTTCAATGAGGGCTGAGATTCTGTCTGTTTTGTTCATTATTATATCTACAGTGCACAAAACAGTGTCTGGAACGTAACTGGAACATAATAAAAATATACTGAATGAATGAATAATATGCTTATCACACAGTAGATGCTCAATAACTGTTTTTCTTCTCTGTCTGCTAGGTCACTACTGACATATCAGCAGCAAATGTGATGCCACTACTAGAAAAAAAAAAAAAATTGAATGCCTCTGCCTTACTAAAAGTAGGTTAATGGCATCGTTCTCACATTTGACAGAACTTTCTCAAGTATGAACCTATTTATTTACATGAGACTAAAACAGTCACTTCCTAAGAGCTGCATTTCCCCAAAATATAAATATTTACCTTGCTAAACTCATTCTTTGACGTCTCTAAGCCATCCTGAGGGAACATTTTTTTCCTCTGTTCCGGCACTGGAAGCTTCACTTTAGATGGGGACACTAAGACAGCACCACCTGGAAAAATATAGAAAATAACAGGCTTTAATTAAATGAAATTATCTTGCAGGAAAAAAAAGTAGGTTAAATGAGAGCTGCACAGCGTTTGCCTATTACCAACAGCTGGAGTGGTAAGGTCATGATGAGTCCTCTGGGCTCCACCAAGTTCTCTCAGCTTTGGTGTAGGAAGCCTGCCGCCTTTTCCTGAAGATATAGAAGAAGAATCTGACCTACAAATAGGAACAACCTATTATGAAGCATTTCTTTCAGAAAATATGATCAAAAACATCCTTACATGATTATGCATAATAAAGTATGAAACTTTTAAGAGAAGGCCATTTCTTTTCTGAAAAAAAAATTACAATCAAATCCACAGCCAGTTAAGAGCCACTAAGTACTGACAAAGAGACAAGTTCACTGCAAGTCGGCCACAAAGCAGTAGGGAATCCTCTCATCCATCAGGGCCTAAGTGCCATGTTAGCTGCAAAAGTCAGGAATGAATGAAAAGGACAACAGGCAAAAAGCACCATTATCAATTAGCATTCCCCAAAGTATCTTGCACATAAATCTAAAGGAATCAGCTATTTGCAGAAATCACTTCTTTTTAATAGTACATAACATTCTTTTCCTTTTTGGTACAACCAACTGATATTAAAGAACTTCAGCTATTTTTCTTAAATCGTAAACAAACATTTACGAATGCAGTAAATCATAATTAGGAGAACAAAAATAACAATAAACTATTTCCTCCCCAGGTGGCTCAGTGTTTAGTGTTCAGTTACCAGTTGGTGGTGGCTCCAACACCTGAGTCGGTCAAATCGTAAACCATCCAGAAATGCTTACTTCATGACATTAAAGTAAATCTGCTGTATTAGTCATAAAACAAAAATGTTAAAATCACTATACTTATTGACAAAACACTTATAAACCATGTACTATAATGCTTCTATATAATCAGTAATTTAAAACTCTCACCCTTCTTTTATCTTGTCTGCCTCAGATCTTTCATTTACTTCCAACTTCTCTAACTCTCCCATATGAACCTGTTTGTCCCTTTCACTTTCCTCCTCCTCCTCCTTCCCTTTTGGCTGTTTTTGTATATCTTCATTGGTGTTATCTGCATCCCAAGCCAGACGTCTTTTAACAGGCATAGTGGGAGCGCCTGACATGTCCAATTTCTCTGTGGTATATTTTGGGGGCTGTTCTTCCAAGACAGGTCTTTTTTCTTCTAGTTTGGTAGAATGACATTTCTGCAAAGTCTTATGGCTTGTAGGATCTCTGCAAAACAAAACAAGTTTCCTTTTAAACTTGAATAGTTTTGAGCTTTCTATTTTATACTAATTTTAGTGAGTACATCATTTCTTCCCATTGCTCAAATATATAGGTTATCCCACAGATATTATCTTCCCCCACACAGTGAAGAAAGAAAATCTAATTAAGAGTCCATTTTACAGTATGAAAAATGAAACTTGTATTCTAGAGTTTCTATTAAAAGATTGCAAAGTAAAATATATTTATCTCCTCTCACTTCTACCTTCACACATTATACATGCCTGCATCTGTGCTGCCAAAACTCTTGCTTATCCCCTAAACCTGTATTTACTCACATAAACTAGGACCTCACATGCCTAACTTGTTCACTTACTCACTTAGGGTTTTGTGCACAAACTCAAGCATACTTGCAAGTCAAACAAGCTGGTTCAAATTTTATGTTTGGACAGATTCATCTTTTCAAGATATAATTAAAGAATAGATTTGGTGACAAACTTTTTAAATCAGATGTCACATAATTAAAATTGATGGTTAATCTGGTATGCATGACTATAGTAATATACCGTAAGAACTATTTTATTTGCTACAAATCACCATGTTATTTCTCTTATAGTTAAATGATGTTCACTTTAAAACCCAAGACATCAAAGAATTCTCTCATAAAATCAGGGCCCAAGTTCCATATTAGCCACCAAACCCATTAATGAATGATAAGGGATATGGACCAATAGCTTATATTCTCTGAGTTTGGGTTGCTGCTGTTGTTGCTTCTCTCTTTTTCTTGCTTTTTAAAAGTAACTTATCTCTACTATACAGTCATCTTCATTAAGTTCTTAATTACTAATAAGGAATATTATAAAATACAACCTTCCAGATTTACATCATGTATTATTATGTATATACAAGTGCATAAAGCAAGTATGTGTAGCTTTATTTTTCACAGAAAATAAACTGTTGCTGTTAGTTGCCATGGTGTTGATTCCAACTCACAGAGACCCCATGTGCAACAGAGCAGAACTGCTCCACAAGGTTTTCTTGGCTGTTATCTTAATGGAAGCAGATCATTGGGCCTTTTCTTCCACGGTACCCCTGGGTGGGTTGGAAATGCCAACCTTTAGGTTGGAGTCGAGTGCAAACCATTTGCACCACCTAGGGACTTAGAGAATAAACCAAAAATAATGCAAATAAATTCTGGCACATTTCCATTTGACTAGCAATTCTGAGTAGTCATGTCATTTCCTTATAATTACATGTTCTATTATAAGCTACAACATACTTTTCACCACCCACAAAGAACACCTCACCCAGCAAGATCTAGAGCTCTGATGTTGCTACTAATGGTTCCCTCTGAGCTCGTGGTTGAGGAGACATCCCAACAGCAATTTTTATCAGATAGAATCTGATTCAGATGGTCCCGAGAAAAATGTGTTCCCAGGACTCGTTTCCTGTAAAACTCAGCCTTCTCTCGGAGTTCTTTAACCTATGCAGGAAAGTTCAGACATCACATATTATTGTAAATGCTCCTTTGCAAATATCACCAAGTAGCAAATTAAAGACACGGATTGCACAAATACAGCCAGAGACCAAGGAGAAAGAAAGGCAAAAATAGCTACATATGTTCTTCTGACTATGTGCATTTTTTAAGCAGAAATTAAAACAGTCAAGCTAAAGCACAATGTGGTTATTTTATTTTAGGCCAGCAGGCAGGGAGAAATTTGTAGCAGCTAAGAAAACTATTTACACCTACTTCTTACTCCAATTGTAATTTACATAAGTACTCTATGCACTATTACAGTTTTTAAAAACTCAAAAGCAACCAACCTCCGCATACCACATGGCATTTAGGGAACCCTAGGAAAAGGAACACAGAACACACTTAATGACAGGTTAATGCCATAACTGAATATTAAGGGGAATCAACAAAATACCTTATTATTCTTCCTTCTAAATATATATCAAGTCTGTCCATCACTATTCTTTTAGTATGTTTTAGTAATTTTTAATTCAGTAACAAAGATATTTTAATATTACACACCTTGAAAACCAGTCACTTTCTTGCATGTCTGGGATGCTATCGATGACAGATAATCGTTATTCCTATTTCCCACCTCTACCCCTTGTTGTTGTGTGCCTTTGAGTCGATTCCAATTCATAGCGACCCTACAGGACAGAGTATAACTGCTTCATAGGGTTTCCTAGGCTGTAATCTTTATGGCAGCAGATCACCAGGTCTTTTCTTCCACAGAGCCGCTGGTGGGTCTGAACCACCCACCTTTTGGTTAGCAGCCAAGCACTTAACCATTATGCCACCAGGAATCCTTGGAAACCCCTTGCCTAGCTTAATGTCCTGGCTTTAGAGACAGCTGCTACTACTACAAAAGGCCCCAGTGAGAGAGTTAGTTATAAGGCTTCTCTCAAAATTTCTCAATACTTTCTGGGACTCAGCAAACCCTCAACTTTTTTTAAATGTACTATTTAATTAAAAATAATACCCCACCCAGAGGTCAAGAAGGGGAGGGTGCTGACACATCGCAGGGGTGGCAACCACTGTCACAAAACAATATGTGTATTGTTTAATGAGAAACTAATTTGCTCTGTAAACTTTCACCTAAAGCCCAATAAAAAATAAGTAATATCCCACAAACTAATAACTGCAATGTATGTTCAACCAAGAGACGGGATATTCTTTAAAAAATGTTCTGATGAATGTTCAGGTGATTTGAATCCCCTAATATGCAAATAAGTATTTTCATATGAAAAGGAGTCTGTACGAATTTGAAACCCTTTCATTTTACACATCATACTGCCACCTGCTGGCTTCACTAAATACAATTCTGCAATTTAAAAAAAATTAAGTTGAACTTTACCCTTAAAATTGTGTTTAACACTAAATAGACAATAGATAAGTCGTAACTCTGGTGAAGGGTAAGACAGTACACAATACTGGGGAAGCCAGCACAGCTTGTCCAAGGCAAGGTCATGGAAGCTCCATAGACACATCCGAACTCCGAGGGACCGAATTATTGGGCTGAGGGCTGTGGGGACCATAGTCTCGGGGAACATCTAGCTCAACTGACGTAACATAGTTTATAAAGAAAATGTTCTACATTCTACCTTGGTGAGTAGCGTCTGGGGTCTTAAAAGCCTGTGAGCAGCCATCTAAGATACTCCAC